TATATATCTGCAATTTATCTGCATGTGCATCTTTAGAGAGTTTGCTGTGCTGTTTTTATATGTTAAACTTCTGTATAAATGGCATTTATTCAACGTTCTATTTAATTTATTTACTAAAAGATATTCAAACTGTTCTGAAACATTCGCTTTTACAACAATAATCCCCACAGACACCCCTTGGCACTCCTGTTGAACAGTTTATCTGAGATATACATTTTCTGGTGGCTGCATATAGTCAAGCTGGACTCTGAGTGGGTTGTGTTAGCTGTTGTTTATACTAGTTACACAGGAGGATTTTCACAGACTTTCAGTGATGTCACACTTAATTTTCATCACCCCTCTGATCATACATAAGGAGGTCTTAACAGGTTTAAACTTGTGTTTTACTGGTTGTCAATTGAATTTAAGACACTTCATAGTTTATTTGCTATTTAGATTGCTTCTGTTATTTTGTCTTTTGCAATGAAAAGGGGGGTTTGACTTCTTTATGGAAAACTGTCAACTGTTTTCACACTATCAAAACGTATTAAGATATCTTCCTTTCCCTCCTGTTTTCTTCTTCCTGCTCTGGCGGTCCATAACTCCTTTGTCCTGTCTCTTCCTCCCTCTGCTCCCTTTCCCTCCTTCCCTTATACCCAGAGAAGAGCAGTTCACCGCCATCTCCTACACGGCTCTTAGCTTGGGGAATCATATCCTGGCTTTCACTAAAATCTTCCAAATTACGTAACATCTTCTCTACATTATCAAGATTGGGAATTGACGTACTGCCATGAAGGTTACGAAGTCAGTGGTGATGCTGCCGAGAGGTGACCCTCTGTGTGGCCTCTACTCGTTTTCACGTTTCTGTCACGTCTCTTGTTTTCCTATATTCCCTGTGATGTTATTGACATGGTGCTGAAATGTCTATAAAGTCCAATGACCTGCCCAAGGTCACACATTCAGCCTAGAGCTGAATCTTCTTGAGGTTTTCCCTGTGTATTCTCCTTGATTTCACAACCAGCTGGGAGTGCAGGGTGAGTATCCCAAATAAGTCATCAAGCCTCCCCTCTCAGGGTACACAGTGCTGACATTGCACACTGTGGACCTAAGCTGATAGCGATTGCCGGAAGTCTCTCCAAAACCAGTTTAGAGAATTGGACTTCTCTGTCGTAAGGGCATGTTTTTACAAAACAACCCCTGACCCCCCAAACCCAAGAATAAAACAAAGATAATACTGCTGGGGGCTGGAGCTGCTCTGCATTGAAACCTTGTAGTTTGAAACAATCTGGAGTTTTTACCTGACTTGGTCACTTGAATGTGTGCAATGTGGCTGTCACCAAAGCCAACCAAACAACTATATCAGCAGGAACACTTCTGAACCAACTCCTGAGTGATCTGCCTGCAATGGGAGATAGATTCCACCGAGGAACAGATTCTTTGGCAGATATGGACAAACACCCAGTGTCCAGAAGTGAGCCAGGGAGGATGCTGGTAGGGATGCTAAATGAGTCACAGACCAAACTCTGGAGACTGAATGAGGCCTAGGGAAAGAGTGGTGACTCACGGTGGACCTGAAGAGAGGTGGCAGCTATTGGCCTGCAGAGCAGACAACAGTGGGGGAATTGAGAATGGAGATTTCTTCTCCAAAAGGAAAGTTCTACAAATTCCCCCCAGCATGGGATCAGGGTTCATGGGAGATTGGTAAACTGTGCAGGTCCCAGAGCAGCTACGTCTGGCAAGGGGCAGCAGGAGGTGTGGCTTGGAGAGAAGGCTGGAGTGAACCCACAAAAGGCACATTCTCATTTGAAAACTGTATGAGCTGATTCGATCACAATGGCATCTTATCAAAACAATGAGAACGTAGGCTTACAAAGCTATTTTAGAAAGACAAAACATTTCCTGTCTTCCCTGTAAGTCTGGGGTGTGGGGAGCAATGGCTCAGAGGGATAAAAGCGCCTGCTGCTCAAGCCCTGAGATTAATGCCCAGGGATGACATGCACCTGTAATCCGTGGACACACCCAACTGACAGTGAGACGGGAGATTTGGCTGGATGTTCACCTGGCAGCCAGGCCTGAGTGTGGCAGAAACAAGGTGGGGCACCCCACTGCAACAAAGTGGAGGGCTGGAGAAGACTCCAGAAAGCTGTCCTCTGACCTCCACACATACCCTGGGGCACTTGTGTGCCTGCACTCAGGCACACAAATAGAAATAAAAATTAGTATCTCCTCCACCCATCTGCCCCTACCCTGTCCCTTTATTTCTAGATATTGGAGTCACGATGCAGGTTAGTTGCGGAGAATCCATGACCTGTCTATCTCTCATGACAAAGGGGTTGTTCACATATGTTTTGGACATGAGGCTGTTACTGTGCCAAAGCATCTTACAGTGTGTCGTGGGAAAGGTGTGGGATACTTGGGGTTAGAAGTTGGGGACGGGGAAATGGTTTTCAGAGCAAGATCATAAGATGGAATCCACTGAAGGGTCTTATTTAGACTTCCAGGCTCATGGGAATGGGGAATGAAGATTCCACCTTGCCCTGTGGCGCCTTAAGAACCCATCCTGCCCTCTTGAAGGACATGCCTACAAGGCTGGGTGGGCTTTGAGAAGTAAGGGATAAAATGCTGAAGCCTGCGCCACCTTCTGGAAGCCTGTGGGTGAGAACTCCCGTTTTTCATCTGTCAGAGCAGGAGAGAGTTTTAGTTCAGTTTTGCTCCCCGAGGGTTTCGGGAAGGCAAGTCTTAAGAGATGAGAGGTCAAACCTCAGCACAGTGGGCCCTGCCTGCCTGGGGATGGTGGGGTGGGAATTTCAGGGCTCTGTCCCACCTGGTGGTCCTCTCTCCCTCCCTCATCCCAAGACAGCACAACCTGTGTCTCCTTACCCGACCCTGAGGGGCTCTGCCTGGTCACCAGCTCGGGTTCCTTGCAGGCAGGTGGACAGTCAGGGATCTGGCACCTGCTGAGCGATGCTCTCTGCCAGCGGCCACTGCTGAGCCAAAAGTCCGAAGTCCAGGGTCAGGAAAAGAAGAGAACCCAGGGTGGAACTGACTGCGCACTGCTCCCCTGCAGACTGGGTCCCTGGGGTGGGTGGAAAGACCGACCTGACAGCCGCAGGCACACAGCAGAGCAGCCTCCGTAACTCACCGCTTCCTGTGGAAGGCTGCGGGCCGCCCAGCCCTCCCATTTCCTCTTCTCAAGGGCGCAGTACTGGGAACCAGAGGCCGGGAAGGGAGGGACAGCCCCCTCCCCGAGGTTCAAGAAAGCCGCCTTGTGGCTACAAAGAGCAGCAGCAGCAGCAGCAGCCAGGGCGGATCTGCAGGTCCCAGGGTACTAGGGCCCCACATGACAGGTTCTGCTCTAGAATGCTCCCCTAAGCAGGGACAGAAAGGCATTGCTGGACCCAGAAGGACCGGGCGAGCCCCTCTCAGAGCGTGACTGGGGTCAGACGCCGGGTGCAGGCTGCCTTGACTCTGCTACCTGACAGTGACAGAGCCACGAGTGGTCGCTGTGGAGTGTCTCTGTGGCTGTTGCAGAGAGACTGTGAGCAGGGCCAAGCCCTTCTTCCAAACGAATGCACCTTGGAATATTGAGCAGCGAGCATATTAGCTGTACGGTGAGCCTGCGAACACGCACTGGCTTAGGCAGAGCCGGGTCGCATCCCAGTGAAGCCCCCCCCCCCCCCCCCCCCTTTTTTTTTTTGTGGGAT